TTGTATATATATATATATATATATGTAATATTATGCGTAGCTGTTTATTTAAATCCAAATACAATTTAATAAAAATATCTCGTAAGTTTTTAATAAATTATAAAAGGATCTATATAAAAAGAACTGAGTTTAAACTTAATTTTAGTGATGATAATATAATGAAGAGTTATGTTTATACTAAATAAAATTTTAAATTTTTATTACATGACATGTCTTGTTATATGTCTGTCTTTTTTGAAAAACAATCCGTTTAGAAAACTAACTTTGTCTATGTTGCATAATATTTCTGATTGCAGAATGATTTGTGTTGTGGTTCACCTTCTAGCATATTTGTATATTATATCAGTGTTTTTTACCAAATGTATAGAATGTTCCTGATTTAAGAGTGAACATGAGCTTAAAAATAATTAAAGCATCAAATCTTTTTATTAAAAAAAATGTTCTATTATTTCTCGCACTTTTCAAATTATATGAAATTATTTCTGGAAAAGTTTAAAAAAAAAAAGTTGAACCTTGACAAAACAGAATAGGCATACATTCGCGCCTACTTGGAAATTGAAGATAAGGATTTATCGTCTGTTTATTATATTTCTGAAGTTTATTCTGAATTAAGTTCTCTCCTCAATTAATAATTTCAAGAAACATAATTTCTTGAAACGTCTTCAAACGTTTTTGTTAGAAGAAAGACAAATTTTCATTAACGAAAAAATCTTTAAAAGGCCAAACGTAAACTTTGTTAAATATGGAATATTTAATATGGCAGATATATGATATGAGAAAGACGTGACATTGAGATTTGACACAAAAAAATACTCTTCAAGTATGCTTGTTGCATTTCAATGATACCTATACGTTTTACATGTCGTAAAAGGTAGTTCCTCAAAATGTCAGCGGATTTATATGAATATTTATATGTCGTTTACAGTGCATTCGTTTCCTGCTTGCTTTACTGTTACAGATATGTAGAACTTGAAGGTAATCTTTTTGGAGTGGCTGAAGACGTAAACTTGCGATAAGTATATTACTTTAGAATGGGATTAGATTCATGATCTGGAACATACAGATAAGCTATTACATTAGATTAAATTATTTTGTATTATGTAGTTAATTTTGATTTGTTGAACTTAAGAATTTTTGCAAAATTATTAATTTTATTTAGATGTTTTTAATTTTATTCGAAGAACTTTTAGTATTAATGTTATTTTTCAATAATATGAATATTTTAATTTGACTTTAATTCTATTTGTGAAAGTGTATTATTAAATAATTTATTAATATAATGTTATAATTTTGAGGATTAATATAATTTCCTTTTCTTCTTCTTTATGAGATACTTCAATATCTATGAAAGCCACTCGAGAATACAAGCGTAGGCAAAGCAATAGCAAATGAGGAAATTTGTTTGCATGCTTATTCCAGAAATTCACACGTAAGTTAAACAATGTCATTTAATATTCTCCAATATATTTTTCGATCATTGATTTATCATTATATGGCGATATGTATACATATATCGGGAAACAAGTAGATTAGACTAAGCAGAGAAAATGAAATATTGCATATAATGACGATATGGAAACATATAACATGTAAGCGTTTCTGATCAGATTATCATTTAAAATGAATTTTAATTAGACTTTTAAAATAAAATGCGGAATATGCTTACATGAAATATCTTATGAAACATCGCAATGCATAATTAATTTCGATTTGTTCAATTTATAAATTCTTGAAAAATGGTTGCTTCAGTTTAGATATCAATCATTTTCAATTAGTATGTTAAATAAAAAAATAATATTCCAAAGCAAATGGGAAGAAAGTGCAAGTGAAACGAGCAAACTTATTAAGTCAATCCCAGATTATGCAAATATTTTTGGTGCTTGTATTAATTCATTCTAAGTAACTAGATGCCGGAAATATAACAGAATTTATTGACATCTATAGAATCTGAGAGTCGACGCGACAAATTGATGTGCTAATATATGATAGGAATTTACTTCAAAGATGCCATCAGAGACGAATTTTATTATTGGAGAAAGTGCTTGATTATCGTAAGATCCGTTTTTAAATAGATACTTCCAAAATGCTTGTATGATATGATAAACGTAATGATGAATTATAGCAATTTTTATATAAAAAAGAAAAAAACAAAAAGAAGAAGAAGATATAATTAAAAAATTGAGTATTGTTTGTTATTTCGATCGCTACTATTTGAGATGTCAATCTCAATTACTGGAAACGGAGTTTTTTTTCTCCCTTATGCAGAATAAGTAGAAGCCTTTCCGCGAATTCAAAAGACAAAAAGATGGTATTTCAACTTCCACAAAATTTTAAATTGTTTCGTTTTAAAAATACTTAATGTATAGAAAATCGAAAAATTATCTAGAAAACTTAATACGAAAGGGTGCTACTCTAAAAATAAACTTATTTAGACTTAATTTAGGCAGTATATTATAAAAATTCGAATAAAAATTTCGAATTAAATTCGGATTGAATTTTGAAATACAAATAATATACGATAAATTGGGATTCTAAATAGAATACATATAATCACAATGTGAACACATAATGATTGCATTATTTAAGTTATTTTATTACGTAGATTTCATCTAAAAAAATTTTTATAATCATTTTACATAAAATAAAACAAATATAATAAAGTAGCAGATATCATCAGTTTAACTTGAACTTTGATGTTAACAATAAAAAGTAGCTATCCTTTAATATCTTCCGTATATAATTCCTTACAATTAGCTGAATTAACATACGTAATTTCTGTTGGAATATTCTCCTCTTTTTGAGGATTTATATTCGCGTTGCGTGCAGCATGTTGAAAAGTGTGCGGCTTATCTCGTGAGCTCGACACTGCAGTTTAAATCATTGTCTTTGCTAGAAGGTTAAGGACCCAGGCTATTAAGAGCAAACCGGTTTCATGATATTTTTTGTAACATAAAATTCCTTAAGGAATCCGCAG